AAGAGCAGTAACAGTCTTTAGGCGGGAAAGTGGGTGAAGGGAGGGATAAAGTTTTTGTGATTTGTGGACCTTAAAATAAAAAAATAATATATTATAATATGTGGGGTGTAAGTATAATTTACAATGTGAAGCATTTAGGACCAGTCCAAGAAATGAGAAACCGATCCTCGGTAAATATCACCCTTTTATCCCTTTTATCCCTTAACTATAACACTTTTATCCCTTTTTGTCTTAACTATCATACTTTTATTTCTTAAATAATCAAAAAAATCTCCAAAAATATTCAATTTTTTATAAATAGTCCCAATTTTTATTAAAAATAAAAATTAAATAATGAATAAAATCAAAAAATTAAAAGAATCATAAATAATGCTTCCAATTGGCTCAGGTTATAATATTTTTGGATTGGGTTTCAATTTTTTGGGTAACTTCAATTCGCTACATCAAAAAAATTCTATTGTCCAAAAATATTCAATATTTTTTAAATAACAACAAATAAATAATAAATCAAATCAAATAAATAAAAGAATTGTAAATAATGCTTTGGTGTGGTTATAACTGGGTATAACGTTTTTTGAATTGGGTTCCAAATTTTTTGGTGAGTCGGATTAGCTAGATCAAAAAAAAGTCCTAAAATATTCAATATTTTATAAATAGTTCTATTTTTTATTAACAATAAATAAATAATGAATAAAATAAAATAATTCAAATAATTGTAAATCATGCTTACAACTATTTGAGTTAGGCTTCATTTTTTGAGGTTACAACTCTCGAGGGAAGGTTACAACTTTTTTGAGGTTCCAACTTTGGGTGGGTTCAAACATGGGTGGGTTCTAACAGTTGGGGGAGGGGTCCAACTTTTTTGAGAAATGTTCAAATTTTTTTTGGGTAGAAGTTTCAACTGTTTTGATAGGGTTCCAACTTTTTTGAGTTTCAATTTTTTGGGTAGAGGTTCCAATTTTTGTAGGTAGAGGTTCTAACTCTTCGGGTAGGGCTTCCAACTTTTTTGGGGTAGGTTCTAACTTTTTTGATTAAGAGTTTCAACATTTTTGTGTAGGGGCTCCAGCATTTTTGGGTAGAGGTTTCAACTGTTGAGGGTAGGGTTCCAACTTGGGTTGAGGTTCCGACTCTTGTTGGAGAGTTCCAACTTGTCCAAGTTTCGGTTCTAATATTTTTGGGTAGGACTTCCAACTTTTTTGATTAAGAGTTCCAAATTTTTTGGATAGGGATTCCAATATTTTTTTGGTAAAAGTTTCAACTGTTGGGGGTAGGGTTCCAACTTTTTCGTTGAGGTTCCAACTCTTGTGGGAGAGTTCCAACTTGTTCAAGGTTCCAACTCTATAGGTGGGTTCTAACAGTTGGGGGAGGGTTCCAATATTTTTGGGTAGGGGTTCCAATTTTTTTGGATAGATGTTTCAACTCTTGGGGTAGGGGTTCCAACTTTTTTGGGGTGAATTTCAATTTTTTTGGTTAGGAGTTCCAACTTGTGTGGATAGGGTTCTAACTTTTTTGGTTAAGAGTTCAACTTTTTTAAGTAGGTATTCTAACTTTTTGGATAGAGGTTGCAACTCTTGTGTGGGGAGGGTTCCAACTTTTTTAGAGGTTCAACTCTTGGTGGTTCTAATAGTTGGGGGGAGAATTTCAACTTTTTTGGATAGAGTTCCAACTTATTTGAATAGAGATTTCAATTCTTGGGGTATGAGTTCCAACTTTTTTGGATAGAGTTATAACTTTTTTGGTTAGGGGTTTAACCTTTTTAGGTAGGTGTTCTAACTTTTTGGTAGAGGTTCCAACTCTTGTGCGGGTAGTGTTCCAACTCTTGGTGGGTTCTAACAGTTGGGGGAGGGTTCCACCTTATTTGGATAGGGGTTCCAACTTATTTGTGTAGGAATTTCAACCTTTTTGGATAGGAGTTATAACTTTTTTCGGTTAGTGTTCTAACTTTTTTGGGTACAGTTCCAACGTTTTGGATAGATGTTCTAATTCTTGAAAAGGGTTCCAACTTTGTTTGGGTAGGAGTTCCAACTTTTTTTGGGATGGGTTCTAACTTTTTTTGGGTAGAGTTCCAACATTTTTGGTAGGGGTTCAACTTTTTTGGTAGAATTCCAACTCTTGGGGAAGGGTTCCAACTTTTTGTGGGTAGGGTTCTTGGGAGGGTTCTAACTTTTTGTGGGTGGAAGAAGAGATAAGGTTTTTGTGATTAATATATTATAATATGTGAGGTGTAGGTATAATTTAGAATTTAGGATCGGTCCAAGAAATGAGAGACCGATCCTAAGTAAATATCACACTTTTATCCCTTAACTATAACACTTTTATCCCTTTTTGTCTTAACTATCACACTTTTATCCCTTAAATAATCAAAAAAATTCTCAAAAAATTCAATTTTTTATAAATAGTCCCAATTTTTACTAACAATAAAAATTAAATAATGAATAAAATCAAAAAATTAAAAGAATCGTAAATAATGCTTCCAATTGACTCAAGTTATAATATTTTTGAATTGGATTCCAATTTTTTGGGTGACTCTAATTCGCTACATCAAAAAAATTCTACTGTCCAAAAATATTCAATAAATAACAACAAATAAATAATGAATAAAATCAAATAAATAAAAGAATTGTAAACAATGTTTTGGTGTGGTTATAACGAGTTATAACTTTTTTTGAATTGGGTCCAATTTTTTGGATGAGTCGGATTAGCTAAATCAAAAAAAGGTCTTAAAATATTCAATATTTTATAAATAGTTCTATTTTTTATTATTATTAATAATAAATAAATAATAAATAAAATCAAACAGTTCAAATAATTGTAAATAATGCTTCTAACTATTTGGGTCATTTTTAGAGGTTACAACTCTTGAGGAAAAATTCCAACTTTTTTGAGGTTCCAACTTGGAGGTGGGTTCAAACAGTTGAATGGGTTTTAACAGTTGGGGTGAGTTCTAACAGTTGGGGGAGGGGTCCAACTTTTTTGAATAGGTTCTAATTTTTTTTGGATAGAAATTCCAACCGTTTTGATAACGCAAATTAAATTATCAGAACAATGCGGCATTGTCGGTAATAAGATCCTTGCCGTTTAAATGATTCCCCAGTACACTATTGAAAAAGCATAAGCACCTCCTATCCTAGCTTTGAAAGTTTCACAGTTAGCACTTGTGACTTTTCCTTAAAAACATGGGTTAATGATACTCCAACGTCTCACATTTTAAAAATCCTATTTCATCTCGAATAAATTTTTTTACATCGAACCCTTTGAGTTTTCGAAAGTACGATGATATGCCCCCAACAATGTGTAGAGTAGACATATCATAATGACAGTTTGCATCCTGAAATTATTTACCAGCGAAGCTTTACCCCATAAAACACATTGATTGCCTCACATTAGTTCTGAAAATGAGATAAGCTACTCATGAACATCTGGTCAATTTGGATAGAAACTCATTCAATTGTGTTCATTTATCTTAAAAATCGAGCTTAAGTTTGCTCAAGTTTGTTCATTTAGCAATTTTTTGTCTGACTCGTTAAGTTTGAAAACACACACACACACACATATATAAATGCTACAACCAGTCCATATATTTTTAAAAAATATATAAAATATTTATTATGTTTTGTGTATTTATCTTACATATTATATATTGTATAGTGTATTATATATATATATTATGTATATGAACCTAGTTTTTTGAAGAGTTATATGAGCCTAGTTTGATATAGAACTCTAGCCTCATATTGAGTTTAAGATTGAGAAGAAGTCTTGATGGGTTTGTTTAATCATTCTAGTCAAACGGCCCAAACCTAAGCTTGAACAAAAAATAAACGAGTCAAACTTGAATAAAGTATTTGAAGCTTGCGAGCGATAAATCTAAACATACATTTTGTGAATAAAGGGGTGGAGACCAAACAAACTGGCAGTTTCTGAATAAGACGTCATCTAATGATTATGACATGTTATTACTATTTAGGAAGTTTAGGGCAATAATAAGATTTTAAATTTTAAAGGAACAAAAGTGAAAATCTTAAATCTTTTAGAGGGGCAAAGTGTGACTCGTTCTAAACATTTGGTGTTGTTCTTGTAATCCCCGCAAATGGCCTAACTGCTTCATCACATAGTCCTTTCCAATTTTGTCCAATTGAGATAATATAAAATTGGTTTGTGCCGGCACAGTGAGAAATAAAGAACACTATATATAAGTGAAAGATGCAGCACTTCTTGAGCCTGCATAAGAATGATGACTAAGATTAATAATCTCTTTCTCCTTCATGTTGCTGCTGCAGTTCTTATCTTTCATCAACGTTGCAGTANATAAAAACACTCTTCAAAGAGTAAACCAAAAAATAATAATTTTAAAATTTTGGTCCAAAAGTCCAACTCCCCTAACACAATCACATTTATTAAATGATAAAAAGAGTAAACAAGAAAGTGTTGACATCCTCAATCTTTTTTTCTTTTTTACTTTTTCCGGTCAATAATAATAAGTATCGCTCTCTCTCTCTCTCTCACAAAAGCAAAATTAAACTTGATACATTCTTCACTTGTCNTAAAAGTAAATTTAAAGGAACATAGTATAGTTGTGTCTTAATTTCATTCTACACGTGCCATTGATTGTGATAGTGTCATATCGGTATTATATACATCTATGGCTTAGTTTGAAGGCTTAATTTGTTCCACGGAATTATTGGGTTGAATACAAGTCCCATGTTTTTTCTATTTCTATATAGGTATTGACATTGCTTCAAGATCATGTTTTTTCTATTACAAAATCATGTTCTCATAGGCTCATAACCTTGAATCCATTATGCAGTATTGAATTCAAGCCCAGCAGTTACCCATATCTGAATCTAGGATTTGTAATACTCTTCTTTATATCGATGAACATTAACAGAAAATAATCGAAAGGAATCTAGATGCCCGTTTCTACTGTAACTAATGAGCTGGTTTCTATCTTGTAATTAATCATTCATCCTTGGAATTTTTATGAACAAGTAGTTTGGACTATGCTTGTTCTGAACTATATTATGTTACTCTATGCTCCAGATGGGAAGGCTCCAGATGGGAAGGTGATGATGGAGTACATTGGAGCAACCGGTGTTCCAGTAACATTTACCCCTGTTCCCATTGAAGATGGCATTGACTTCCACTTCATACTAAGCTTTGCCATTGATACAGACTCCTCAGGAAATCCCCAAAATGGCACGTTCTCAGCATACTGGGCACCAACCTTAACCTCAGAATCAGTAGCAGCCATCAAGGCCATCCACGCCAATGTTAAAGCCTTGGCCAGTCTCTCCGGCTGGAGCCTAGGCAACAAAGTCCTCCGTTGGTACACCCCACCCGACCCCCAATAATGGATCTCCAATGCCTTCACCTCCCTTAAAAAACTTGTCACCACATACCACCTAGATGGAATTGACATAGACTATGAAAACTTCCCGAAACACAACGAAAGCTTTGCCTATTGCATTGGTGAACTCATCACTCTATTGAAGAGTGTCATCCTGTGGCCACAATCGCGCCATTTTACAGCACGACTGCACCCTACATGGAACTCTATAACCGATGTGGAGATGTGATTGACTACGTAAACCACCAATTCTATACCGATAAGGTCAAGACCCTGAGGGGATTTTTGGAAGCCTTCAGACTTAGAACTCAGCAGTTTGGGAGAGAGAAAGTGTTGCCTAGCTATGAAGTTAATGGGAGGGGAATTCAAGGGGATGCATTTTTTGAGGCTTTGAATCTTTTGGAAGAAAATGGTTTTGATGTTAATGGGGTGATGATCTTCTCTGCTGATGCTTCTGCTTCCAATGACTATTATTATGAGAGGAAATCTCAAGCTTTCTTGCTCAATTCTACTAGCACATGATATGATTTTGCAAGTTTGTAACAAGTGGTAATTGATCTATTCACATGGTCTTCTTTGTGGCATGTTTGTGACAATAATGATTAAAAAAAAGAGTGTTTTTCAAATGATATGATTTATAGAATTTGTATGCCAAGCGTTTTAGTTTGGACTAAATCATATATTGGTACATGTATATATGTTATATGGGTTTTGATTACCATGTAGATTTATATTGGGATGGCTTGGTTATGGTCTAACAGAATGAGTTGAGGTGTAAATTTGAGTTCAACTAAATAAATAGAACAATTAACTCGAGTTCAACTTGAAACCAACCTCCAAGTTGAACCCTTCAAAGTATTGCAATGCTTAGATTTTTGAAAGCAAGTTGCATAACTCAGACACTTGTAATTCAAATGTGGTTCTTGATTGCAATTCAAGTTGAGTCTTAAAAAGTCGAGTTGTACTTAAGTATTGAAACAATTTACATTGGATACAAACTTTTTCTTCAAACTCCACTCAAATCAAAATTCATGTGCAAGTATTATGCATTTTTGGTTTGAATTTTGATTCATCAGTTCAAATTACGCCCTTGAATATTGAAATGCAATGTTGGTGGTTGATCCCAAACGTGTAGTACTACCACTGTCATGTAGCAACTCTTTTGTTTGATAATTTCAGGCACCAACCAAACGTTGGTTATTTTTCCAATAACCAATAAGTCTTTTTTTGTAATAAAAATTATTGTCTGGTACAACATTTAAATCCCAACTTTGATAATTTATTCCACGTTAATCCAAAGGTGTATCAGTCATGTCCTTATTCCATTTTTATCAATTCTTATTGCAACATAAATTACACTTTTTTATATATATATTTTATTGTGCAAGTTTAGTTTATCCACAAACTTAAAAAAAAAAAAGAAGAATTATTGCCACTAGACGTATATGATTTTAAGTTCGACTTTGTATAATATTTTATTTTCTTACAAATCAACATTTATTGGTCACGCATCATATTAACGGAAAAAAGTATAATTCGAATAACTCGTCTAACTTGCTAACAAATCTTTTTCTGATACCAAGTTATATTAATAATTTGCTTTATTTATTTATATTTTTGAATAACATATAGTGACATTTTCGTTATTTAAAGCTAATGGACAAGAGAATAATGATAATAAAGTTATGATATTTTTTTTGAAATTAGCTTGAAAATGGAGCAATTAGGTATCCAGACAGATATTTAATAGGACTCTTTGGGTTTTTTCAACAAAAAAAATAATACTTTTTTAAAATTACATTAAAAATTAGCACTTATTTATGCCAGTGAAATTTAATAAAACTCACTGATATTTGGGAAAAAAAATATAATTTTATAGTTATTTTTCCTTGGTTATATGTACCATGCTAAAACAATCATACACATGTCAACTAGAAGTGTTCAAATTTTTGATTATCTGTAAATTTCGACCCTATTCTACTCTACTTGACTTTATTGATCAGCTACCCGAAAGAATAGGATAAGCCAATAAAAGATTTTTTGATATTCCACAAAAAAATCAAGTAGGAATACGAAATACTTTCAAATTTTTGATATAAAAATTTTAATATTTAATTGTTATTTTATGGTTTTTTTTATATATAATGTATTAATGTTTATTGCTTTCTTGTTGTGAGTTTATTGTAATTGTTTATGTATTATCAAATTTATTGTATTTTCTTTAGTATTATTGGTTTATTGTGTTAGTTAATTGGTGTAGGTTACTTAATTAAGTTGTTAAAATGATCTAAAAATTAATAACTAAAAAATATGTGTTCATCTAATTTTTTTATCTGACTTTCTACCCGATTGTTTTAGACGAAATTCGAATAGAAATATTACATTTGATTGGATATGATATGTCAAGAAAAAAAAATTTCAAAAAATATCGAATAGAAAAATAAAATACCATAATTCCTACTCGTAAAGTAGGGTAAACATCCCTAAGATCAAACCAACCAACTATATGATTCTATTCGTTCTTCAACAAGCCAAGTCAATATGCCCTGATTACAATCATCACTCATAGTATATAGATAATAGATTGATCGAGTGCATATATCTTTATTTACTCATTGAGATAAAGATACGTACGTTATGATATCAATGTGTCACGCAATAGTAACAAAATTCATGTATGCACATCTTCGCCAGTTTCGGCTCAACGAAAGAGGAAAAAAAGTATGGTCTTTAAGCCTCACATATAAACAAGGCCCAAATTTGATGTGAATAATATAATACACACCAAAGATTAAAACTTAACACAATTTAGTATAATAAAAACACTCTTCAAAGAGTAAACCAAAAAATAATAATTTTAAAATTTTGGTCCAAAAGTCCAACTCCCCTAACACAATCACATTTATTAAATGATAAAAAGAGTAAACAAGAAAGTGTTGACATCCTCAATCTTTTTTTCTTTTTTACTTTTTCCGGTCAATAATAATAAGTATCGCTCTCTCTCTCTCTCTCACAAAAGCAAAATTAAACTTGATACATTCTTCACTTGTCTCAAAATCGATTTTATTGTAATTTAAGTATAAACTGTCAACTAAATTATTCATTCTCATAAAAAGATCCAAAATAAAACAAATTTAATTTAAAAAAAATATTTTTCAATAAAGTTGTTACTCATAGCAAATAAAATATAACAAATATTTAGGTAAAAGTTACAATTATAAACAAGTAAAAGATCCTAAAAAATTAGAAGAAAGTAAAATAATTAAACAAAAAGATAGAAATGAATGTATTTATAATAATAGTCAATTATGTAAATACCACAATTTTGATGAAGAACGCACCAAACAAACAATAAGAACAATAAAAATATTAATGAAGTAATAAATTATAATTTTATAAAAATATTTATGATATAAAATGATATTATTATCAATTAAAAAAATATGTTAGCATAATTTGGGTCCATAGATAGTTTCAACGTTGTATTGTGAAAGGAAAAATGTCATTGCTTCAAGTAATATGAGCTCTGTAACTACTTGTGGAAAATAGATAAATGAAAGTGCCTTTGAACGAACGTTCCAATTATATGAGCACACTATATACTATATATACTCATGGTATATATATATATACACTAATAATTTCTCGTACTTGAAGGCACAGAGCAACAAAAAAAATGATTAACAATAAATAAATTTGTTTTTACACCCAAAATTAAATTACGAAGATAGAGGAGAAAGAAATGAATTTAAGCACCTATTATAGTGAAAATGAGTAGTGGTAGTAGTAATAGGAGACGGTGATGATTTGTGGTAGATGACAATGACCATTATTAATGGTGGCAGTTGTGGGTGATAACGGTGATAATGGTGGTGGGCGGTAGGGATGGGTGGTGATAGGAGTGATGGTGAGACAATGACGGTGATGGTAAGGTGGCACCAGTGATGGTAATGGTAAGGGTGATGGTGGTAATGATAATAAATATAAGAATAAAATGACGATGGTGGTGGGTGGTGGGGATAGTCGTGGTGGTGGTGGGGCGGTAGCAGTGGTGATGGTTATAGGAGTGATGGTGGGGCAATGAGGATGATAGTGATAAAAGTAGTGATGAGTAAGTGACAGTGGTGGTAGGGCGGCGACAACGGTGGTGACGATAATGATGGTGGTGGGGCGATGGGGGGGGGGTGGTGGAAGGGCGACAACAACGAGGGTAGTGGTGGCAGCGACGGGGACAGTGATGGTGGTTGCTATAGCAAAGATGGTAGTGGGGTGGTGACGACGATTGTGGTGGTGGTGGTGTTGGGGTAGTTGTGGTGGTGGTAATGGTGGGACGGTGGTGGTGGGGCGGTTTTAACACCACTTTTTTTAAAAAAAAAAACACTTATGAGAAGTTATATGTCCTAATAGTACTTCTAAAAAGTTACTACAAACGTACCCTTAGGACCTTATTTTTTCTATTAAATTTGAGGTGTTACTATTAATTATCAGATTAACTTTAAAATAAAATTTAAAACGATCTCAATCGTGAAAAAAAAAATATATTTTATTTATTTTTTGAGATTTGAATTGTAATTTTATATATATATATATTCTATTGGTTATCCATGATATTCTCAAACGGGATGGCATTGGGGCTAGTCGTGTCAAANTTAATCGGAAAAAAATATATATATTTTATTTATTTTTTGAGATTTGAATTGTAATTTTATATATATATATATTCTATTGGTTATCCATGATATTCTCAAACGGGATGGCATTGGGGCTAGTCGTGTCAAAGGTTACGAAATAATTAAATTACAAAGCAAAAATTATAACATATTGAGATNTTAATTATCAGATTAACTTTAAAATAAAATTTAAAACGATCTCAATCGTGAAAAAAAAAATATATTTTATTTATTTTTTGAGATTTGAATTGTAATTTTATATATATATATATTCTATTGGTTATCCATGATATTCTCAAACGGGATGGCATTGGGGCTAGTCGTGTCAAAGGTTACGAAATAATTAAATTACAAAGCAAAAATTATAACATATTGAGATGATTCACGACTGGTTATGAAATGGCAAAATTGATTATGAATTACTTTAATTAGTTGTAATTTATCATTTGTAAAGTGTAACTAAAACTTTAACGGGACTAACTTGACATATGATCGATTTTTTGAGTTGTAACTTAAACAATTTTTAATTGTAACTTAGAACTTTTTCCGTNTGATTCACGACTGGTTATGAAATGACAAAATTGATTATGAATTACTTTAATTAGTTGTAATTTATCATTTGTAAAGTGTAACTAAAACTTTAACGGGACTAACTTGACATATGATCGATTTTTTGAGTTGTAACTTAAACAATTTTTAATTGTAACTTAGAACTTTTTCCGTTATAACTTCACTTTTACCTGTTCTAATTTTAGGGACAATACTAATATGGATGCCATTTGTGGTCCACCTTCTCTTTGTCTATTGTCTCTTCTTTATAGATTTTCTTATGTCTTTTTTTAGGTTATTTTTTTCCCGGTCTATTGTGTAAGAGTCATTGGGTTTCGTATAGAGAATGAAACACCATAATTAATACATAGGGTNCATGTTCTAATTTTAGGGACAATACTAATATGGATGCCATTTGTGGTCCACCTTCTCTTTGTTTATTGTCTCTTCTTTATAGATTTTCTTATGTCTTTTTTTAGGTTATTTTTTTCTCGGTCTATTGTGTAAGAGTCATTGGGTTTCGTATAGAGAATGAAACACCATAATTAATACATAGGGTATAGTATCGATCCACTTCTACTCATTATGTGGAGATACAGTGTAATTTCAATATATTTTTGTACCCCAAAATGATAAACATAATACATTCACACTATCTTTAACTTGATGGTAATCTTCAGAGTTTGCCAAGTTTGACCTGTAGATGAAAGTTCAAAAATTAGATCTTCTCAATTTCAAATTCAATTAATCATTGTTCAATTTGATAGGTCCCACAACTATCAACATGACTCCAGTGGGATGCATTAAATTTAACATGTTTTCCAGAAAGTAAAGTGTCTGTGCACATTTTGCCACCCTAATATGTGCCACACATGAGTTTGAATTATTATTTTTAGACTCTTACCGTTTTCTTATGTAAAACCTTTGACAATGACAATTTTATACTGGATTTTAATTTTTCAATTTACTTAGTTACTTAGCTTAATTATTAATGACATGTTATGATTACCAAATTTGTCANTGTGTGCACATTTTGCCACCCTAATATGTGCCACACATGAGTTTGAATTATTATTTTTGGACTCTTACCGTTTTCTTATGTAAAACCTTTGACAAAGACAATTTTATACTGGATTTTAATTTTTCAATTTACTTAGTTACTTAGCTTAATTATTAATGACATGTTATGATTACCAAATTTGTCAAGAAGATGCATTACACCGGAGTGAGATCTATTTCAATATTTTTTTTAATTGTTTTTTTTGGGTAAATCACCTACCATAAAAATATCCATATAATGCCAAGGATATCTCTCCATTGACATTTAAGGATTCAAAAACAATTTTTGTTTCTCGAGATTTCAATTGACAAGATAATTTTTGCTCGAGTATAAAAGGCCCCCTCCCTATTTCACCCCTCTCTGTCATCTCTCTCTCTCTCTCGATGCCGAAGCCGAAGCCATCGTCAATCACTGCGAAGGTTCTCTCCGATTCAGAATCCATTACTCCATCTCCATCGAGCTCTCTCTGTACCCCCAAGCCCTAGATCTATGTATGTGTATATTGTCTGTATAGATATACATATATAGCCCTCTACTATATATATATATATATATATATATNGTCATCTCTCTCTCTCTCTCGATGCCAAAGCCGAAGCCATCGTCAATCACTGCGAAGGTTCTCTCCGATTCAGAATCCATTACTCCATCTCCATCGAGTTCTCTCTGTACCCTCAAGCCCTAGATCTATGTATGTGTATATTGTCTGTATAGATATACATATATAGCCCTCTACTATATATATATATATATATATATATATTGTAATATTTAAGTGTGTATGTATGTGTGTGTGAGGGAGAGAGAACGAGAAAGAGAGGTGGATTTCAGGGGCTTTGGGAGTGCTGAGTGGTTGTTGGTGGGGGTGGGTTTTCGGGGGCGGATAGGTTTGGTGGTAAGTGACGTTTCGGTTGGGGTGGCTAGTTGTGGTTGTGGGTTTTGGGTGTGCGTGGTTGGTGGTTGGTGGTTGTGGGTATTGGGTGTGGGTGGTCGGTGGTGGTGGGTTTGTTGGTGTTGGGGTATAGATTTTCTGCATAATACCAAACATGTATTTTATTTTTGTTTTCATAATTTTTTAGGTGTAAATGACTACCAAACATGTTTTATATTTTTATAAAAAAATAAAAAAACAAAAACGTAACCAAACACACTCTTAAAGATTCAAAAACAATTTTTTTTCTCGAGATTTCAATTGATAAGATAATTTTTCCCACCCCACCACCTAACAGTACCTTGTCATATTCAACAATTAAATATATAATAATCTATGAAATTTTAATAATCACAATATTGGGATTAGCTAAATAATTTGACATTGATTACTATTTCATTAATTAATTACAAAATTAAATTCATAATCAATTACCTATTATTCTATTGAACTTTTAACACTTAATCATAGAATAATCCATCCAATGTTGTCAATTAATATTTTTGGCATAAAATAAGATATTTATCCATGGATGATAATTTTTGACAACTAATTACACAATTGAATTTGTAAACAGTCACATGATAATCTACTTATTTCATAAATTAATTAAATAATAAACTATCCATATACCAAAAAAAAAAAAAAAAAAAAATATCCATATACACTAAATTAGTCATAATTTTTTAGTGTTAATTAGATTAATTTTCAATTAATCACAAATTTAATAATTAATTGCACGATTAACTTCTTACAACTACCGCCGTTACCATTACTACCGTTACATCATCAGCGAATCAAAATACAAAAAGGGATTAATTGTCATGTTTATTTAAAAAACACTTTTAAAGGGGTGCTAATGTTATTTTAAGCCTTCACTTTTGGTTTTGGTAACACCGTCATTTTACGCTAGTGATCTCACCCCTCTCTGTCTCTCTCCTCCCACCCACAGCACAGAGGAGGACGACAGCAACTACAGAACGACGTCGTAGAGCAGTCGTACGGTACACTCCTCTTTCTGACAGCACAATCTAGTTAACCCCAATCGATTCTGATCTCTCTGATTTCATCAANCGCAGCAGAGAGGAGGACGACAGCAACTACAGAACGACGTCGTAGAGCAGTCGTACGGTACACTCCTCTCTCTGACAGCACAATCTAGTTAACCCCAATCGATTCTGATCTCTCTGATTTCATCAAGTATTCAAGCTTTCTTTTGTCTCTGTGATCATTTTCCGAGAAAATTAACCGGAAAGTATCATTTCTGCAGCAGTTGAAATTCAGAATTGCGCTTTTTTTTTTGTTCAGAACTGTTTAATTTGATAGGGTATTGAACTCATTCGTGTCACTGTCTCAATTGAAGTAACTAGGGTTTTTTCGAGTATATGTATTGAAAGTTGATAATTAGAGTTTGAATTTGGTATATGTACAGAGAGAGAGAGAGCGAGAGAGAGAGAGAGAGAGAGAGAGAGAGAGAGAGAGCTTTTTGAATTGAGGGAAATAAGGGTTTGGGTTTTATGATGGTAGATTGATTGATAATGGTGAAGCTATTGGGATTGACTCGAGGAGAACCAGCTGAATCACCTCGGGAGATTACCCGAACCATACCGACGAGTGAGAGCGTTGGTGAGAGTGGTTGGTTAATTCGCTTCTTTGACTCGGCCTTTTTCTGTGAGTGGATTGCTGTTAGTTATCTATACAAGCATGATCACCCGGGAGTTCGGGACTATCTGTGTAATAGAATGTATACATTGCCCCTTTTGGGAATTGAGAGCTACTTGTTTCAGATATGTTACATGTTGGTTCACAAGCCTAGTCCGTCTTTGGATAAGTTTGTTATTGATATATGCTCCAAGTCGCTTAAGATAGCCATGAAAGTGCATTGGTTTTTGATGGCGGAGCTTGAGGACTCGGATGATAATGAGGGGATTAGTAGGATTCAAGAGAAGTGTCAGATTGCCGCGACTCTGATGGGTGAGTGGCCACCTTTGGTTCAGGCCCAAAATGCACCTACGAGCCCCGTGGGGAAGAACCCAGTTCTGAATAAGTTGTTATCTTCCAAGCAGAGGTTGCTTTCGTTGACATCATCGCCTCCCACGCAGAAGTCTTTATCATTCTCGCCTTCATCAGGTAACTCTTTGCAGGATGAGGGAAGTAAGCCTTTTCCAGAAGAGAATAAGATATTCAAGAAATTTATTCCAGGTCCAAAAGTTCGGGATGCATTGCTGTTTAGGAAGTCAGTGGATAGAGATGATGACGAATCGGAAAAGGATGGCTTCTTCAGGAGGCTTTTAAGAGATGGCAGGGATGAGGATGTCAGGAGATCATTGGATAGAGATGACGAGGAAACAGAGAAAGATGGTTTCTTTAGGAGGCTTCTAAGAGATAGTAGGGATGATGATGCTAGGAAATCAATGGATAAAGTTGACGAAGAGTCAGAGAGGGATGGATTCTTTCGCAGGCTTTTAAGAGAAAGTAGGGATGAGGATGAGGAAGTCACATCGAGCTCAGATGGATTTTTTAAACGGTTATTTCGTGATAGTAAAAACGATTCCGAGGAAAAACACGTTTCAAAATCAGTAGAAGAAGATGAAAAGGAAGGATTTTTCCGAAAATTTTTTAAGGAGAAATTTGAGGACAAGAAGGATGGGAGTGATAGAAATGACAATGAAGAAAAAGTGGCGAAATCTGCCGAAGATGATGAAAAAGAAGGGTTTTTCAGAAAAATTTTCAAGGAAAAAATTGAGGACAAGAAAGATGGAAATGATGAGGAAGGCAATGGTCATGCCAATGGTGAGGAAGACGAGCCTTCAGATTTTTCATTGTTTCGTAGATTTTTTCGAGTGCACCCTGAGTATGCCAAGAATGCAACAGCGAATGAAAACAGCCACAGTGGCAGTTTTCTTGAAAGCAGTCCAGGAACAGAAAATTTTTTCCGCAAATTGTTTAGGGATCGTGATCGTTCTGTGGAAGACTCGGAGCTTTTTGGTTCAAAGAAGCACAAAGAGGTCAGTTCACAATTATTGGTTGTTATTGGAATAAAATGTGGAGTCTTTCCTCAACCTTGACTTCTAAATTTGTTGTTAAATCTAAATTATCTTCTTGTTGATCTAACTTAAATGTGTATAATTTTTTCCTAAAGACTATATATTATTTTATGTGTGAGTGGAAGGCCTCAAAAATAGAAATACTACGAAAATTAAAAAACCAAAAATATTTGGAGAATTCTTATTATATCAGCTCCAAACAAAAGGAGAACTGAAGCTATGATTGAAATATATGACAGGTGCAGCCACAATATAGTCAACCATACCCACAGAATCTCAGTCCTACAATTAAGAAATGGCTTGAGTGAACTTCTGATCTGCACAAAAGTAAAACTAAAAAACTTGGAATGAATGTTTGAAATCATGCCATCCATTTATTATTCGGAATGCAAACTTCTTCTTCTTCTTTTTTTTAATAATAAATGGAATGTTAGTAAAAGGGATGAATTATAAAGGCCAAGTTTAGGACACAATAGAGGGGAAGGCATCTTACCAAGTGCCTTACGTCAAAATAAAAAGGAATATTACATGTCACATAAAGATCTCCAATCAGAAATCTTATAAACAAGAGGAATATCCTCTGAACACCTTAGTCGCTGAAGCTGAAAAAGATGCAAAAATGATCTCTATTCCATTTTAATGATCTCCCAATTTACTTTGATACTAAATAACTTTAGCATTTCTCTCTAACTAAATAACCTGAATGACAACAATTAGTGTACACATACAAAAAGTGGCACTCATCCAACCAGAATAATTTCAACAACAAATCCAACGCAACCGGACAGTGAAGGATAAGGTGGTCAATGCTCTCATTTTTCCTTCGGCCTTCGGGCATGAAACATTACAATTGTGACAAGCAAACACATGGTCTCCTTTTCTGAATGAAAGGTTTAGTATTAATCTCGCCACGAGCAATTGTCCAAACACTCAATTGAACCTTATTGGGCACCTTAACTTTCCATATAACCAAGTATGGCAAACAGACTTGAAAGCGAACATAGTGTTCAATCCTAGCTGGCCACATTGTGAGAGTAAGAAAAGGAGGATGATGTTGAGGAATTTGAAGTTCCATAAAGTTATTGTCCTTATCTTCTGCCGTGAAATTAATTTCCAATTGATAGTGCTTAGCAAATTCTTGCAATTGTTTACATGATAATTGCTGAAGTTGACAAGTGAAGATTTTTTTCAAGAGAAACTTGTCTTTCTTAAACCACTGGGGAGAACTCTAGAATATTCAGAAACAAGTGTGCTAGGTTTTTTGTGAGAAATATAGTTCTTTGGACTTATGGAGTGTAAATAAATATCTCCCATTTTTATGAAATGTGTTTAAGATATTTCCCAAAACTTATGAATGGAGGTTGGACCATCCCAAGTTCAATGCTTCATGCTCGAAGTTGTGAACTGTAGCTAAAAACACACGTTAGTAAAGAAATGGTATTTTACAAGGAAAACCAAAGGACATTCATAAGAGCTTTATAGATGACCTAACAGTAAAGAAACAATAGAGCCCACACCTGTAGAGTGAAGAACACTTACTGTCGAGGCTAAAAAAACATTGTTGAAGTGAAAAAATCCTCCGTCAGAGCAAAACAACTATTGTTGAGGCATCATAATCTCTGCCAAGGTTAGAAAATCATTATTGGGGCCAACCCAACAACTTCTGAGACCAAAAACTTCATGCTTTCAATGTATCTTTTTGATAGGCGTCTCTATTTATATGGGGAATTCATTGTTGATGGATCTCACCTAGTGTTCCCCTCCTTCCCCCCTTGCCTTCTGACCTGTGGGAGTATATAATGACAACTGTCCGAGAGAAGTTTCCATGTTTATACTTTTTATTGTTGTAGGGCGACCTTAAACTACCAAGGAAAAAAGGGTAAACCAATGTGATCATGACATTGTAGGTGATGTCTCTCAAAATAATCTATAAATCTCTCTCCTAGAGTTGTTTGCATATGTGGAACTAACTATAGATCCTCATAAAGATTCCCCATGCTCTTATAGGAATGCTAGGATTGCTTCCTTAAGAGCTCATCGTTCTATATTTTGTACCAATCCGAACATCTAAGGAGCTTGTGCAGAATANATAAAGATTCCCCATGCTCTTATAGGAATGCTAGGATTGCTTCCTTAAGGCTCATCGTTCTATATTTTGTACCAATCCGAACATCTAAGGAGCTTGTGCAGAATACTCAATGCCCAAGCAGTTACACGTTGTTGATTTCATACTCTTCCGATAGAGCCAATAACCATTATGTGAATTGTCCTATGTTATTGCGTTTCAAGATGTTCACTGAATCCTTCACGATCCGATTGGGCTTACCGCACTAACTCGGGTTTATTGGGCAGCATACCTTCTCAGAATTAGCGGGGTTTCTTCTACCTACTTCCGTGTTGAGGTTAACAGGACCCTTATTACTTTACTCAAATTGCTAGCGAACTATCGAGAAGGAGAAAACGCGAACTTGTCTCTGTATGACAACCACTAAAAATGGAGAGTTAACCATTGGTTCATTGGATTTCGGGCCAGATGGATCCAGTGCGTAAGTGACGATATCGATCGTGACCTTGATATGGAATTGAGACTGCTAACTATGATGAATGTGCTAACTATGGATATGATACCAGAAATAGACCAATTTTATATCACTCTTTAATTCGTATTAGCAAGAACAATGCTACTGGAGTCCAGATCTGCCACTATCAATGTAAAAAATTGCCCAAAACTCAATAGGTTGTGCATGAAACTCAACTTGGGCTCCTAGAAGACTTAGTCAGCACCCACCGGCAACATGAGGATTATTGGAATGGCCACAAACTCCGCCAAATAGTAGATCGCAAAATCCGACTCAAAAATTTTGAAAAAATTTAAATTTAGAAAAACATATCAGATGACTTCAAAAAATTTCAGAAAAATTAATATGTAACTTGGGAGAAAAAACGAGTCGAATCATGTCAAGTTTGGTCAGTTCCAACGATGACGTAAATGACACCAGTAGATTACCAACACCTTTCTAAATGTTTCTGCAACTTTGAATTTCCGTTAGATGGTTGGGATGTCAAGTTGGAATTTAGAGATCTTAAATTTTAAGGTTTAGAATGGAGAAGAGGCAAGAGAAGAGAAGAGATTATGACTTAGGGTTTTGGAGAATAAGAGTTAATCAACCCCTATTCTCATCATCTATATTTATATTAACTCATAAAAGAGCTATATACAATAATACCCCTAATTAAAATAATGCTAACATTCTACTGGGTAGAATATGTGTTCATTGTTGTTGTTGCAGTTGTTATAGAGCCAAACCATGTGATGAATTAATATGGGTCCTTCATACAAATATAAAATATCAAATGATTGGGTCCTGAAATTGTGAAAAAGAATGGAGACAAAAATCACTATTTATCAAATCCATNGCGATGAATTAATATGGGTCCTTCATACAAATATAAAATATCAAATGATTGGGGTCCTGAAATTGTGAAAAAGAATGGAGACAAAAATCACTATTTATCAAATCCATCTCATGAATTGCTGAAAAAAATTAACATAATGTTTAAGTGACCTACATAAGGGTCCTTTGATAGTGCTCTGAATGCTGAAAATTGAAGGGATTAAACAATATGTGTTTTTGATAACAAAACACGCTGCCACTTAATTAATTAATTGCATCTGAAAAATGGTTTAAAAAATTAACTTCTCACCTACTTAATGCTGAAGATGGAACATGCTCAACAAGGGACGATTTTAATGCCTTTGTAGTTTGTAGTATGAAAATTTTGACCTCCGATGAGTTTGTCTCCAACACTTCTACTTCAGATCATCATAATTCCCCCCTTCGTCTTAGGTCTCTTTTCTGTGGTCTCTCTCTCTGAAAAATTTGTCAACTCCATTTTTGTTGTAATTGTGTCAAAATATTCTGATTGGTATTGGACTTTGCCAATGAAGATAGACTTTGCCGATGAAGTTGTACGGCAAATATTGAAGACCTTTGTAATTTCACGTTGGTTGCTTTAGTGTATGAATCCAGTCAGCTACTTGAGGATTCTAATGATTCATGAGTGTTTTATATGGTTTAAAGTTTCGATTCTAAGAAGAGAGAATTATGAGAATTTTTTTATTTATTAAATTTTAGTTTTTGGTGGTGGTGGTTGTAGGAGTGATGACGTCGACAATGGTGGTGGTGACAAAAGGTTATGAAAGAATAACAAATTAAGATGAATTGATATGACATGATTTTTTATTGGATAAAAATAAACTGAACAAAAAATTTTCAAGCAAAAGGTTAGGGATAAAATTAGAAAATGAATAATTTTAATACTTAAGCTTTTCGTAGGATTTTAACCGTTTTATTAAATTCTGCACTTAAATTTCAGTACATACCAAACAGTATTCAAATTTAAAAATTTAGCATTCAGTTTTCAATACTTAATTTTTAGTTTAATCAAACATTGCCATAGCTTATATGTGCTAAATGGATGCATTGTGAAAGCCATAGGACTTAATATATATATCAAGGTTGTTAATATGTGTATCACTACACATATTGATTTTAAAATATAATGCATAATGCATAGTGTATCGTAATGTTTCATGTATTGTAATATACATTCCTTGTTAATAAAAGTATATATCAATAATCAATAAGTAAATTTCTAGCATATAATGTCGAAAATAAGATGAATACAATTTCATCTCAGTGATTTCACTCATCATCTTGTATGATGCGTTGCAATAGAGATTGAAAGAGATACCCCTTTATCTTATCGGATGAAATCAAAATTCAGCTAGGGTTTTTTTTGTTTGAAGAAGAAGAATAACAGAAGCATCAGAAATTGAATAGGATCACAATAGAAGATGATCATGGACTTTGTCTGTTTGAAATCAAACCAAAAAAGAGAAGATTACTTATAGGAAACAATGCCACTTCAGTTTTTAGAGTAAAATGGACGTAAAGACAAAAAAAAAAGGTCTCGTGATTTCATGGTATCGAAACACTAAGAAGCACGGATATTGGCGCGGGACGTGGATACAAAACGACACAGACATGCTGACACAAATTCAAAAAAAGTAGGATATGGATACATTAAATATTTTGTATTTAATTTTATATATATACACACACACATGCGACACACTTACACCCTCACAATCCACTTGTATTTTCTTTCAATCACATTTCTTTGTTCTAATAATTCTCTTACTCGAGATCAACCACCAAGTAAATATATAAATATTATGTGACAAAATAAATATATTTTGATAATAATCATTCAATTCATCTTGTTCTTAATTCTAACAATTCACATCATGATATCGAATAATCAATACAATATCACATGTACCGATACACATTCATCATAAACATCCATGATTCAATTATTAATGACTATTACAATTTACATTGTAGGAGATATTCCACTTCATAATCCTAATTTTCATCAATTTCAAAGAGTACCAATTTCATAACCTATTTTTCATCACATTAATTTTGTGTAGAAAGTTTGTTCCAGTAGTATATAATTTCGTTTGTGTTCAAAATTACGTTATATTCATGCCTTATGTTCATATAGTGATTATAACTCTTTTTATATTTTTTGTTTGACCCATGTCTCTCCAAAATTACAAAAACAACTTCCTCAATTATAAAGTTATTTAAGAAGTTTTCAAAATTTTGAAAAAATTGTCTAAAATGTGTTATCCAGCGTGTCCCAAGTGTGTTGGTCGCGTATCCCCAATGTGTCCTAATCATGTCGGTCGTCTTGAGTGTGTCGGTCATGTATCCTCAAAGTGCCCAAAACCTGTCCTAAAAAAAGTAAACAATAAAAAAACTAGACACTCATATTAGTGTGTCTGGGTGTTCCTGGAGCATGTTCGTGTNAAATAATGCATAGTGTATCGTAATGTTTCATGTATTGTAATATACATTCCTTGTTAATAAAAGTATATATCAATAATCAATATGTAAATTTCTAGCATATAATGTCGAAAATAAGATGAATACAATTTCATCTCAGTGATTTCACTCATCATCTTGTATGATGCGTTGCAATAGAGATTGAAAGAGATACCCCTTTATCTTATCGGATGAAATCAAAATTCAGCTAGGGTTTTTTTTGTTTGAAGAAGAAGAATAACAGAAGCATCAGAAATTGAATAGGATCACAATAGAAGATGATCATGGACTTTGTCTGTTTGAAATCAAACCAAAAAAGAGAAGATTACTTATAGGAAACAATGCCACTTCAGTTTTTAGAGTAAAATGGACGTAAAGACAAAAAAAAAGGATCTCGTGATTTCATGGTATCGAAACACTAAGAAGCACGGATATTGGCGCGGGACGTGGATACAAAACGACACAGACATGCTGACACAAATTCAAAAAAAGTAGGATATGGATACATTAAATATTTTGTATTTAATTTTATATATATACACACACACATGCGACACACTTACACCCTCACAATCCACTTGTATTTTCTTTCAATCACATTTCTTTGTTCTAATAATTCTCTTACTCGAGATCAACCACCAAGTAAATATATAAATATTATGTGACAAAATAAATATATTTTGATAATAATCATTCAATTCATCTTGTTCTTAATTCTAACAATTCACATCATGATATCGAATAATCAATACAATATCACATGTACCGATACACATTCATCATAAACATCCATGATTCAATTATTAATGACTATTACAATTTACATTGTAGGAGATATTCCACTTCATAATCCTAATTTTCATCAATTTCAAAGAGTACCAATTTCATAACCTATTTTTCATCACATTAATTTTGTGTAGAAAGTTTGTTCCAGTAGTATATAATTTCGTTTGTGTTCAAAATTACGTTATATTCATGCCTTATGTTCATATAGTGATTATAACTCTTTTTATATTTTTTGTTTGACCCATGTCTCTCCAAAATTACAAAAACAACTTCCTCAATTATAAAGTTATTTAAGAAGTTTTCAAAATTTTGAAAAAATTGTCTAAAATGTGTTATCCAGCGTGTCCCAAGTGTGTTGGTCGCGTATCCCCAATGTGTCCTAATCATGTCGGTCGTCTTGAGTGTGTCGGTCATGTATCCTCAAAGTGCCCAAAACCTGTCCTAAAAAAAGTAAACAATAAAAAAACTAGACACTCATATTAGTGTGTCTGGGTGTTCCTGGAGCATGTTCGTGTCCTAGACCCTCTAACCCAAATAGAGTGTTTATGCATTGTAGTTGAAACCTATTGTANAACTAGACACTCATATTAGTGTGTTTGGGCGTTCCTGGAGCATGTTCGTGTCCTAGACCCTCTAACCCAAATAGAGTGTTTATGCATTGTAGTTGAAACCTATTGTAAAATGCGTATCGTGTATCATACGATAGCCGATAAATATCATTCTTTATTGTAACATATCGTCAGATAGTTATCGTCAATCGTGTGTCGTAAGATACTGACAATTATGATGTCCATATAGGTGGAGCAATTGCCTCATTGAGTACTGATTTGTATGGTAGAACAAATTTTAAGTACTGATGTTAGAAGTCCTTATACGAGTGGTTGGACTATAATAAGCCAAATATTGTTTGGCCAAGGGAATTGCATTGGGATCGTCTGGTGGGATGAGGGGGCCTCATCTTTTATGTAGCTTGTCTTTGTATGCATTATTTTGTTTTTGTAGGAAACAAAAACTTTCATTAAATCATGGTAAAAGTGCAAAAAGGTGGACATGAAATCCAGCCATAAGTACAAAAGAAAAAGGAATAACTGGAATATCTGTTTATGGATTATGATGATGCTTCTTACGTTTTTCTGTTCTTTCAAGAGCCTCGGTGTGTCACGAAGAAACAAAACTACAGCAGGATGATTCCAGCAACATCATGAAGTGGCACACAAGCCAAAACCACTTGATCTTTTAGTACGAAGAAGAGCATATTAAGATGAAACTGAAATGCCAACAAGAAATAGCTTCTTTTGGACATAAACAAGATCTAATCACAGTCACAATAAATTAAAAACAAGACAAAAAGAAATGAAAGTGGATCTGTTTTGAATACTGCATTAACTTATAGAGCGTGTTTCGCATCACAGTTTCAGCTAAAACCTTGAAACGAGCACAATGATCAACACATTATATCAACTAAATGTTTATGGGGTGTAAACAAGGAGAGTATTCATCTGTTATAATCTATTCCTTGGAGTTTATGGTATTGGACTTGTGCACTTGTGTGTGAGGAAGATCATATGGACTCATAGAGAGAGACAATGATTGAGGGTTTAGCCATGGGTTTTTTCGGAAGTTATAGAAAGAGAGATATAGTCGTGTATGCATATATCTTCTGCGAAAAAATTGAAGGCAAAAAGGTGAACTTTATGTACGTAGACTTATGGATGAGATTATGGGATTGGTTGAGTGTATTAGCGGTCACGGAAATGAGTGATGAAAGAGAGAAACACGATTATAATTTGATAAAGAGTGGACCCATTTTTTATCTATTGAAAAAAATTGAATACTTGAAATTATTATACTAAAATCTGGATCTCATAAAGCATATGTCAAATTGCAATAAGATATAGTAAGGAGGATGGCCACACCTACTTTGAATCTGGAAGTCTTCACTTTTTTCAAATGTCAATGGAGTTTGAGGATCTTTTGCTGCATTGTGAACTATTAGACTTTACCTTTTTTGGTCAAGATATGGCCCTGAAGGGTTGGACCTAATGCAGGTAAGGATTCATTAATTTCTCAAAATCATGAGAATACCTGCGTGATCTTGCCTAATTCAAATTCGCCAAAGGATTATTGGAGATAAGAAGTTTTAAATGAGTTCAGCTGGAACAAATATGGGGGAAAGGCAAGTGTTGGCCACAATGATAATCTTAAATGGTTTGCAGCCCTGAGAGGGTGTAATACTGAGTCTGGTCTTTTTGTAAGGCCTAAAGAAGTGACCGGATCTTCCAATGCTACAATTACTTTGATGATGCCTTCTTTCTCTTAGCCTATTGATATGAATTTTAATTCTTTAGAAATCTCAATGATAGGGAGGGTGTGTAAGGAATGGGGAGATTATTGATAATTTTTCCTATATTGTTCTGTGACTCTTTCGTTATGGAGAAGGTTATTTCTTGGGTGGATTATTGGGTTTTATAATTCTTCTGTGAACCTATGTTTGTCACAGGGAGTATCAGCACATTTTCCATTACCGTTGTGTTTTCCCCATCATAATCCTACTACCCAGCAGTTTAATGACTGAAGGAGAATAGCTTGACATGTGCACACATTCGATAAAAAATAAGTAGTCAATAGGTAGAAACTGGTACAAAGAAGAAATGTACATTTGTGGAGTGTCAGCTTGATGAAGTTAATTTGTGGATTCTCGACACTTCTAATATAGATGCCAAAGTAAAATAGTGCTGCATGAAAAGCTGCATAGAACCATTGGTGAACAGTTATAGAATTGTTCTAGAGACCTTCATTAATGGGGACTAAACTTCTTATTATTTAAATGTGGAGAGGGATTTAGTGGCATGCCTCAAGAAAACTGATCCATCCCTGCCCCTTCTTTGTGTTTCCAGTAGTTGACAATTATATTTGCTAGTCAAAAAGCTCAAGCATTGTTTGCTTTTTAGTAATCGCTAAAGGTGGTTGAGAAGAAGTATATGCAGTTGGCATGGTATTCTAATTTATTTATTGCTAACTAATTTTCATTTGGCAGAAACGCCCTGGCTCTCCGAAGCAGCGAAATGAAAAATCTAATGCCAGACCGCCACTTCCAAATAATGCTGCATCACAGTTTCGGAAAGGGACATATCATGAGTCACTTGACTTCGTCCTATCATTATGTGAGACATCATATGGCTTGGTAGATGTCTTTCCAGTAGAAGATCGTAAGAGTGCTCTTTGTGAGGTTGTAAACTTGCCTTGTCTTTCTTACCTGTTGATTTCATGTGTCATGAACCTCTTCTACAGTATATTAATTTGTGATTCTTGTGGTTTTAGTCACTTGTGGAGATCAACGCACATGTAGCTGCTGCTCAAAATACTGGAGGTATATCATTTTTCTCCATATGTAAAATCTTTCAAAATGCCAGAAACATCTGTGAATCTTGAGTACATGAAAGTTATTTATCTTTGACATTTTCTGCTTTTATTTTTTTTGAAGAGCGTTTAAAAAATTCACACACTGGAGTAAGACTGTGTATCAGGATTAAAAGGGGGCAAAGGTAGTATTCCTGATATATGTATCAAGAAGGTCTAAGGAATCCTTGAAAGTTTTCATGATGCAAATGAGTGAAAAGCTGAGNCAAAAAGCTCAAGCATTGTTTGCTTTTTAGTAATCGCTAAAGGTGGTTGAGAAGAAGTATATGCAGTTGGCATGGTATTCTAATTTATTTATTGCTAACTAATTTTCATTTGGCAGAAACGCCCTGGCTCTCCGAAGCAGCGAAATGAAAAATCTAATGCCAGACCGCCACTTCCAAATAATGCTGCATCACAGTTTCGGAAAGGGACATATCATGAGTCACTTGACTTCGTCCTATCATTATGTGAGACATCATATGGCTTGGTAGATGTCTTTCCAGTAGAAGATCGTAAGAGTGCTCTTCGTGAGGTTGTTAACTTGCCTTGTCTTTCTTACCTGTTGATTTCATGTGTCATGAACCTCTTCTACAGTATATTAATTTGTGATTCTTGTGGTTTTAGTCACTTGTGGAGATCAACGCACATGTAGCTGCTGCTCAAAATACTGGAGGTATATCATTTTTCTCCATATGTAAAATCTTTCAAAATGCCAGAAACATCTGTGAATCTTGAGTACATGAAAGTTATTTATCTTTGACATTTTCTGCTTTTATTTTTTTTGAAGAGCGTTTAAAAAATTCACACACTGGAGTAAGACTGTGTATCAGGATTAAAAGGGGGCAAAGGTAGTATTCCTGATATATGTATCAAGAAGGTCTAAGGAATCCTTGAAAGTTTTCATGATGCAAATGAGTGAAAAGCTGAGGAATCCCTATGTCTGTGGTTTCTTTACTTTTTCTTCTTTTACCCCCTCTCACTTTGTGGTGAGAATGGGTGAGATGATTTTTTGCTTTATGAGAAGGGTTCTTTCTGTCACTTTATACTGAGTCATCTGAATTTGGCTCCCTGTTGAGTTTCAACTCCATGAAACTGTTTTCAAATNGGGAGATGATTTTTTGCTTTATGAGAAGGGTTCTTTCTGTCACTTTATACTAAGTCATCTGAATTTGGCTCCCTGTTGAGTTTCAACTCCATGAAACTGTTTTCAAATGTAGCTATTTTACATGTTCTTTTATGGGATATTCAGGTCTCTATTTGCTTGAGTATTGGTTGGTGTAGGGGGATATATTTTGATATTTTGTAAGTTGAGTTGTGAAAGCAATATTAAGTTTTCGTGTCAGTTACTGGCCTTCTAAGGGGATGGATGGTCAGGCCTCTGATTTTCAGGTATCAAAGTAGAGCATTTTGTAACTTGATGCCTATTATCGAGATTCAAATTTGTTTTGATGCCAAGGCTTCTTAATGAAAGCCAGGGTTTTCAGTAATGCTTGTATATGGTATTTTTTTAATGTCTTCTCCTGGAGTTTGTGATCCCCATATTCAATAGAAGTGGATTTCAAGATAACTTTCTTGACTTATTCTCATTACATTCCTGTCATATTGATTGCTAATCCTAGTTTTTTGGTTCTTTCTTTGTTCAATTTTTCCTATCAGTTGGGATGGTACACTATAATATTTAGTTCAGTAGCCTCATCTCTATTTTTTTTGGTAATATCACAGGAGTGTGCTTTCCAATGGGGAAAGGAATGTACCGTGTGGTTCATATACCTGAAGATGAAGCTGTTCTCTTGAATTCTAGAGAGAAGGCACCTTACCTGATCTGTGTTGAAGTTTTGAAAAGTGAAACCCCAAGGTAATTATTGGAACTGCTTTACCTATGTTTGAGTGACCAAAAATATATTTTTGAACTTCGATGATTAGTTTAATGGGTTCTGTTTGTGAGATGGTGCAAACCAAAATGTGTTTCCTTTTTCTTCTTCTTTATCTAGCAGCACAAAGGATGCATCCAATACTCAAAAGCTTTCCAAAGGTGGAATTCCTTTGGCGAATGGAGATGCACTATTGCCAAAGCCTCCTCCTTGGGCTTATCCTTTGTGGACGGGACCAGATATGCACCATGGTGGTTATGATAGAATGTCAAGCTCTACTTCTCATGCAATTGACCAGGCAATGGCTCAATTGTGGGAGGCCAAAGTGAAATTTGTTCGGGTGAATCTTTCCTTGGAGAAGCAGTTGCCCAATCAGTCAAAGAAAATTGAGGTGGCTAATTCAAGGGGTGGCATCCATTGTTCCAGTCTCCAGTCTGATTCAACTCCTTTGGTAGTTGTATCAAATAGTTGTCAATGCAGGGAGGACTTAAATCCTCCATGTGGGCCAGAAGGTGGTAATGATTTAGAATGGGTGAGGGTTGTGTTGACAGCAGATCCCGGGGTTAGCATGGATGACATCCAGGATCAAGAACCAACTCGTCGGAAAGAACATCGTCGGGTTCCAAGTACTGTTGCTATTGAGGAAGTAAAGGTTGGCCTTTGATTTTGCAGTCCTTGGTGTATTGGCCTAAAATTGCTGTGGCTTATGTATCACTTTTTGTTAAAACACTCACAATCAAGCCTTCTAATCTGTAAATTTAATAAATAATTACATAAATATGGATATGCCTAGCTAATAAAACAGAGCTTCCTGCTTGCATAAAGGACAACGATGACCCAAATTGTTTAGATCCTATATATATATATAAATATGTGCATTGTTAAAGAGCTCCTATTGGTTGGTAGTCTGATGCATTCTTTCTGAAGTGCTTGGAGACTTCTGGGTGGCTGTCATTTTTGAGGTCACGAGGATAATATTGTAATATCTGTCTCTTGGAATGACCTACTTTTTGTCATCTATCTGTACCCTGGTGATCTATATAGATGCATTGTTAACTCACTCGGATAATATCGTAATATTTGTCTCTTGGAGGTGATCTACTTGTTGTCATCTATTTGTAACCTGGTGATCACCCACTCAGTGGTCTTTGGCCTTATTTCACACCTTTAGGTTACCTGTTGGAGATGGGTGGTGGTTGAATGTTCGGATGAGCATGACTTATACTCCAGCTGGAGTTTCCAGTTATGTAAATCTTAGGATGCATAAAGTGAATTGATCTTTTTCTCCTAAAAATCTCCTTCACCTTTTTTCTTCCTACATCTATTTCTTTTTCCTAGAACTTCTCAAGTACGTCCGTTCTTCTTTTTCTTTCTCTCTTACATCTTCGTAATTTGTATGCCCACCACCTCCCAGAGTAAATCGGCCCAATCCACTGCCTTCCTGGCAAGATAACCTATCTTCTTATAATTTTCACACTTTCTCAAATCATATTGCATATCTTTTTATTTCAAATCTGTGTTGATTTTTAGTCCAAAGAGCTCTAAATCTGATATACAACCTCACACCTACAACTTATTTGATGAAAAGTCCATAATGATCTCGAGCCAGGAAGCATTTAGATAGACTAATGGTCTAATCAGTCTACATGTGAATTTGAGGAGCAGTATTGACATTAGCATTTGAGATGTTACAGGATTTGGGTGTTATGACTTGATCTATTTGAGGAGGTCGAGTTCCAATTTTGTTTGCTCTGTGTGTTGTGTAGTTTATGGGTTTGGAACTTAATACATTGGAATCTGGCAATCGTTATCAAAGTATCCTATTAACCAAATAAAAAGAAGTGTATTGAAGAACAATTTTGCCTTACATGAAAGTGTTTGAAATCAGGTAGATTATAATGTTGTCTTTCTTTTATCAATGCTATTTTCAGGTAAGCTGACCCTTTTATTAGTGTTATTTATAAATTTCTGGATGTGTTTGTGAGATGAGGAACCCATAGCATATACGTTACCAATATAGACCAGCAAGGCTGGAACATTGGTGGGTGGGGCAATAAGAAAAGGCACGAGGCTCTGTGTAACAGTGAATATGGCTCTGAGTTGAGTAAACTTTAAAATAAAGATTCAAGGCCCAAAAGCCAGTACTTTTTGATAAGAATGGCAATGGTTAGACATGATTTCTTGTAGTCAGGACCAACACTGGCTGTATAATTGGTAGCTGGGATTCAAGGTTTTGTTGCGTTGTGTGACTTCCCTTTTCCATTGTTCCACATTGGTGAAGCTCTCATTACTTCCATGCCAAGGCGCTTGCGTTATGATATCTGTTGTTAGTTAATTTCATGCCAGAAATAGTATTTCTGTGCAGAGCAGATGGTTTATTTAATGTCTGGTTAATTTATGGACTTTTTATTCTGGTTTATGCCTTGTTTTGTGCACCCTAGTTGAAGATATTACACCAGATTATTTTGTAACCATTAAGTAATTGTTTTTTCCAACCATATTAAATGAATTATGGACCATTGTAGAGGTTAGAATGTAGCAACTCTACTATTAGGATTCTTGGGTATTGAACTTCTAGAATGATGCACTTTCTAGTTTGGCAGATGGTTTCATGGGTTATGATGCAGTACTTTTTTAGTTGTACAAGCGATCTTGCTTGTGAAGATTGCCTTTGGCTTGCTATTCATTCTAATCTCTAGCTCAGATCTATTAGACCTGTTTTGAAATGTTTGAAGCATATTCTTAGTAGTGCACAAAGGCTTCCTTTTAAGTTGGAAAAGTCATTAAAAGTTGAGTGGAGGAGTATATGGAGTCCCTACCTGTGACTCGACTGCTTACCTTGACTAGGAGCTTGTCATGGGAGATTTTTTGTTTCCAAAAGTGGAAAACAATAGAACCTAGACTTGTATGTGTGGTGTTACTTTTTTTTCCCCTCTTTCTAACTAGTAGAATTTTAATTGTACTGACTGGTTATTTTTTATTTCTAAATCCGCAGGCAGGTTCTGGGTAATTGTCTTCCCCCTCCCCCCTTTTCCCTGCATTTACGATTCAAAATTTGTCTTTACCTAAAGCCTTCTGGTGTCCTTCCATTTCATATTTTGTAGTGTTTAGAAAACTAGTTCATCACTGAGATTTTTTATTGGTTGTTTACCACTGTTCTTTTTTAATGCTTTCAGTTAAATTAACTAGAATGGGTTATTGACAGCAGCGGAACTGTACTCATACCAATCACGTTTTAACAGCAGCAAGGAAATTGATCTTATGAAAATGCTTCCAATATATGCTTCTTTTTTTTTGGATGTTTTGTAGTCAATGCCATTTTCGCTCCTTAAATACATTGTGAACTAAACAATGCCTACATAGGCCTTCATGTTGGCACTAAGCCCGGAGCTAGTTATATTCTGCTATTCTAATTTTTGCAGATTTGTTCAGCTTAGCACAATATGTGGTTCCATTGAGGCATCATGCTTTACAAAGGATTGATCATTTTTTAGTAATCTGAGAACCAATCTGCTTGTTTACTTGTTTTCTTGTCAACTTGCAACTGGAAGGGTTTCATTTCATTTGTATCTACAGGCTGCTGCGTTAAAAGGAGAAGCACCTCCTGGACTACCTCTGAAAGGGGCCGGTCAGGATTCATCAGAAGCAGAACCAAAGGTGAACACTTGCTGAAAGTTGGACTTTTCTTTTTAGATATTTAGCATGAAATGTTGCATGTTGAGGAATTGAACTCATTTGAAAAAGGTCGCAAATGGTGATGTTCCCAATGCTGGTGATGCATTATCCGGTGAACTTTGGGAGGTAAAAAGGGAGAGAATACGCCAAGCCTCAGGTTATGGAAAACTTCCTGGTTGGGAATTGCGCTCTGTAAGTTCTTTATTTTTTAACCTTCCATACACCTTCATGATCTCAATATGTAAAGTGGATTATCCTTAATATTTATCCTCTGTCTTCATCTTGAATCGGCAATTGTGTCGAGGGGATGCTAATTTATCAGTACCTGTTATTGGCTGTTGGTGCATTATTTATGAATAATAGAAGCATACATGGTTATTTTAGTTTCATCAGTGGTCAGTCTCATAGACCTCAGACCTAAATTCCTTTTTCCACTGTCTTCATTTCTTCAAAGTAATGAGTCTAATATTTGTAGGTTTCTGCCACAGACAATCTTGTCAAAATCTGTGGTGTCAAAATGTGATCACTTGTGGTTGAAGCTTGAATAGATCGGTCTATTCATTTTTTTCCATTCGTTGATTCTGGAAACAACTTTAAAAGGATTGCAACTTTCGAAAAGATCTTCTAATGTTATGGTAGTTGTAATTATACTGGCACCATTCTGCCAATATTTTTGACTTGCACTCAGACACACATTCTTCTCATCGAATATACTTAAACCTGCTACCAAACAATCCCCAGTCTAATTTTTCTCTTAGACAAATCAAACAATCCGCCCTTGAGAATGTTTCTTTTCTATCCTCTCAAGTCAAGTGGGTCTCAATCAGCTAATCATCTCCCCATCTCTCTCTCTCTCTCTCTCTCTCACACACACACACACACACACACACACACACACACACACACACACTTCCACACAGACATGGACTCACATGCATAAAGTCACACCAACACAAACAAAACATGCACCTTCACCACGGTCATCACTAACTCTGCTTGTCCCAGTCAAGTTGTAGGAAAATCTTCTTGAAATATTTAGATCTTGGTCTCTGATTTTGGAAGATTCAATTTGAATTGTTCATTTTTGATTGATTCTGTGGGTGTCAAATTTGAACTTTCATTTTCTTTTTTTGGTCTCGAATTTCTTCTGTTTTTTGTTCTTGATTTTGGACTAAACTTATATGAATTCATTCTTTTATGGTTGCTTTGAAATGGTTTTGATATTGATGTTTTTATGGCTCCTATGAACTGGGTTTTCCTATTTTGTTGTTTCAGGCTTTGGATTTGTATAAGATTTTCATTCTATTTCGAATACTTATGCAATACCAAATTGGTTCCTTAAAGAACTCAATTAGTTTGGAAGCCTTTTGTAGCTAAGTCTACCAATTTCTCATATAAAATTTTTGAGGAGTGAGGAGAGGAAGGGGCTAGTTAATGGAATCTGATGACAGTGGCTTGTGATGGCGTCCATTTTGTAGTAATGTGGTTATGGAGGAGATGGTGGTAGCATGGGAGGTGGTTGTTGAAGATAGCATCATTTGGTTTGTTGGTGGTTCATGTGGCGAAGAACACCGATTGTGATTGTGATGAAAGTGGTAGTGGTGAGCATATTTTATTTTTCATTCATTTAGGTTCTCTGCATAATATGTGGCGAAAGCCCTTACCAAGAATCTGTGATGGCATAATTTTGTTCATTTCAGAAGGGAGATGTGTGCAATTTCAGATAATGTGAGGTATTTAGTAACCTCACTACCTCTAGGTGGTGTCATGCTTATCTGTTTAAATCCTTAAACTTTTGATACTGAAATAGGCAAACAAACGGGATTAGCTGTGTACGAACTGGAATTAGACACAAGTAAAGGCTCCATTATCTACTGTGTCATATGAATCGGATATGCTTCTTGGTGTCATGGGACAGCCTCAGCTTTAAGCTTCCAAGCCTTTCATATCTGTTTAGCCCACCGGTAGTATGGTGTCACTAAGTGAACTCACTAACAATTTGTTTAGCCTTTTAAGCTTATCTGGGATGCCTCTAAGCCCATTAAGTGGACAGTTCAATTGAATATCAGAAAAGAGAAACATTGCATTGTGTCTTACTTTCTCTCAATATAAAGCTTGCATGATCTTTGTAGGATAGTTCGGATGGTTTATGTTTTTAATTTTTAACTCTATATCATAGACTGCTGATGGTTTCTGGTATTGTAGCCGGGTTTTTAACTCCTTGTAGTTACTATTTTATTTGGGAAAAAACTTATTTGGAATCTAAATTAGGTATGTGTCACCATGTTTTTTGCGACTAACTCATTGTATACTTGTTTCACACATAGATTATGGTGAAGAGCGGTGATGATTGTAGGCAGGAGCATCTTGCTGTGCAACTGATTGCTCATTTTTATGGTAAGTTGTTTAGTGTTGTTATCAGTGAGTTAGCCTGCTTTTCCAAGAAACTTGTCTCTTTTATATGTTGCCCCTTACTCTTTTCTGGTACCATGGAGTGACACTTCTAATTATGATTGTTCTTCTTGTTTAGAAGAAGGATCGGATACAAGACAATGGGTGGGATTCCAATGTGAGGGAGAGAGGGTGTACTAATTGTCCTTGGAAATTCATCTAAGAAGGCTTGTCTCCTTTTTTGAAGCATGTACGATATGTTGTTGGTAATGGAGAAAATATGATAAGATTTTGGGAAGATTATTTTTTTCCTTTGGTGGGTGGGTGC